ATGACACTCAATCTACAATTTACAGTACACTCTGTTCCAACTCCTGCAGTGCCTCTGTACAGCTTACTTGTATATTTACCCTGCTTTAACTTGCATAATTCAGCTCATTGGCTGATAGTTGGCCTTAATGAACTTTTCATGAATCAGCGTTTGAGTAGGAAAGAAGCTAAACAGTGGTGTGCAGGGATTATCCAGGACACAGACAGAGAGACACTGTCTTTTATAAAGTCAGGTGGAAGACACAGTATAAGTTTCTGAGACACAGTATAACTGGACGGAATAAGCTGTGTCTGTTTGGTCACACGGCAAAAGTTATGATTTTAAAGACAGTTATTTATATAATTCCAGTATCTCTAGGGAGGTAGATTAATCCCAGAACCTGAGATGTGTAGATTGTGAATCAGTAATGTGGCTGGATTTTTCACAGACGGTTATTTTTGAATATTTTCAGCAATAATCTACTGCAAATCACATCGAGAAGTTTTCACATGCTAAGAGGTTGTAATGTTTGATTTGCAGTAATGAGAGTATATACTGTATCTGATCCTATATTGGCTACATCATGACAACTACTTGGAATTTGCTGTTCATCCAAAACCAAAATATGTGCTTTGTGGTTGGAACAGTAGATTTTGCCAAGAGCCAAGAGACACATACAGCTTAGAAATAAAAAGTCCTAGATTTTGGACGCATGTCAGGAATACAAATTGCTCGTCTGTCAGTCAAGATAACATATAATGCATAACCGTAATGTTATGTTGCTACTGGTATCCTCCACAGTTCTTATTTTGTATGCTTGAAAATATAGAGCCCTGCCAATAAGGGATTTTTGTAACAGACACTAAAGTTGTACAAAAAATAATGTTTTAGTAGCTAATAGATGGAATCAGGTGTGTAAAATGAGGTAGAATGCTAAACTCAGACTGCTGTGACCCACTAGCACCGGTGTCTGTATGGTTAAGGGTAAGCTTTTAGTGTTGGTGAAGTCGAAAGATGCGAAAACTCTCCTATTCTGCCAAAATGAGTGCAATATCTGAGAAGTAAATGATTACTGATTACAATACTATTCGGGATTAGTTTTCTATGGGTAGGTGAAGTAATGCAGTTTTACCACAGGATGTCTAGCATGACTAATTCTTGGGATAATTGACGCTTTTTCTGATGTTTTACATGACATAGTGTTAGGGTTGTATACTTGAGGTAGGACAGTACAAACTGGCTTGATTTGAGTCACAAAGAGCACAATTAAATGCTTCTTCGAGTGCCCCCATAGTGAAGAAAAATATGAAAACTCCTCCACAGAATTGATAATGTTCTTACCGACGTGGCAGTTTGCACTGGATTAATAAAACCTGGGGTTATTTCTGTGGCTCGTTTTATTGAAGGTAAAAGCCACCAGAATCTTTACTAACACAGTCTGTGAAAATGGCTGACATGGTGGATTCAAATGGAACTAAAATCACTAAGAAACACCGGTAAAATTACATCACCCCCACCTCTCCATGCAAAGCTAATTCTGTCTGAAGAGTGCTTAAGTCTGTTGTGGTCTTTTTTTTTCTCTCTCTCTAATTATAAATGTATAATTGATAATAGCTTTTACAATTATGCATTATAATTAATTATAAGAAATTAACAGCTGTTTTCAAGAGTGATGGAGAACTACTTCGGTGAAATAGTGTGGTACATTGTTTGGGGCTGGCTGTCACAACTGGCTTTTTATTAGGGTTGTAACAATAAGTGTATTTTCAGGTTTGATTGTTTTCAATTTTGCTGAAATTATGGTTTAGCTTAGGTTCATAAGTTCTCGTATATAACTTTTTCCTGATGTGCCACCAAATAAGCCCCCCAAAAAAACCTCTAGAATTTAGGAGCAACCACAGGAAAACAAGTCTAATCATTTGAGTGAGGCTGCATGTATATTATAAGCCCCCCCAGTTTACTTTTATAGGATGAACCCAGATGCCAAGTTCATATATTTGCCTGAGTGCTTCCGCAAGCGTTTAATTGTGATCAGGTCTGCATGTTAAGTGTAATTCTTCAGTTCCACACAGTCGTACACTTACATTTCCTTTACTGAGTTTTTTTTCCAAGTTTGTGAATTTTGGCCAACGTCAGTTTGACAAAGTAATCAGCTTTAACTTAAAGGGAAAAAAGTACACTGGTGTGCTCTGTGAGTTTGATTCAGAAGCTCTCCCTGTAGCGCTCTGTGCTGCTGCTGTTCAGTTTCACAAACATACAAACACTGACTGATGCCTGCTTCTTGTCTGACACACACACACGCACACACACACACAGTGTGGCTCCAGAGTGGTGACTCAGAAATGGAACAGAGTGACCAGGCCACTGGTCCAGAACACATGCGCGCACTCACACTCGGAGGGAGGCCCGCCCATATCCTGCTTCATGCTGGTGTCTCAGTCCCTCAGCACAAGGAAAAAGAACAAGGAACTGTAGCAAATGCCGCTCTTCCTCTGGGGAGGAGAAAGAGTGACGCACACTGTGGACACTATGCACATTAGTAATTTTTTTATTGGCCAAAGTCAGAACTTTATCTCTGCACCTTCTGTAAGCAAATTTGTTTAACCTGCTCGCTAGCTATTCATCATCACTGATTTCGGAGTCAAGCAGTGCACATTTCCATGTGAATCACTTTGATAGATAGTATTAATATTTACTCTGACATGGTGGACGTAGCCTATTCAAAGTTTAAATTGTCAGCAGAGTATGACATTTTTACAAACTTTGTTAATCAGTGGGACAGACAAATTCCAGCAGGTCAAAAGAGTTTCTGTAGTTCTGAAGGTGTAGAAAATAAAACTTAAGAAAAGCACCCTGAACACCTTTGTGTGTAAATACCTTATGCCAAATACATTACATGAGAAGAAAGGGCTCACTTTGTTAATTAACTGTTACCTGATTAACTACTGTTCAATGTTTATTATAGACTAATTAGCTCATTTTAAACCACTAAGATTTTATATTTTTTTATAGGCTGATGATAATTTTGTTGGTTAATTGACTGATTTAGTGATTTGTTTCTGTTTTAGTGAGAAATAACTAGTAAGTAAGGGTGCAAGAAACCTGCATTTCAAAAAACACCATGTAAATATTAAGTTTGATTTTGTTTACATTACTCTTACATTTATTTCTCATTTGAAATTCTTTGTAATCTGAAAAAGCAAACATCTGATAGCTATAAACTAGGTGCTGAGTAAAAAAAAAGCTTTATTAATTTATTAAAAACAAATCTACACACTGTTAATAAATGAAAAATGATTTTGTATAACTTATGTGTCATTCATGTATTATTTACTGGCTGTTTTTTACCTTATTGCCCTTTGCATTTTCTCAGTTGTAGCACAAGTTTAATGATTTATTTTTGTCACTGTTATAAGATTCTGAGTAGGACAAGTCTGTTTAGACGACATCTGATACATCACTGGCTAAAGGTTTCTGCATTAATCCTCAGTATATTTATGGTTTATAAACAACTTGTACATTTGTGACTTTATGACTGCATGTTTACAGATTTAAATGCTAACAACATACACAACTTCATCCTGTAAGAATACTAAAACAGATTTATCGTCCAATACACGATTATCATCCTCACTGGGATGACTGCATGGCGTTAGTCTGGAGTCTCACCATTTCATTTTTCAGCAGCTCCCTCAGTGTGGCATTAATTTTACTCCACTGCCCTTAGCATCACTGAAACGCTCCTCTTTTCCACAAGACATTGTTTTTCAACCTGTAGCTTAACAGTACCTTTACTGGGTTGACATTAGCCACTTTGGCTAGTTAGTGGAAAGCACTAGGCCAACATGAGCAGGAGCAGGAAATGTGTTGGAATTTGGATGCCTTTATTTAGTTTGTGCATCATTGTTATGCTCCTGTGAATCGCTATCTCTGCTATGTATAGTGTGAATTGCGAGCTGTAACCTTTGCGGGTCTTGCTTTACTGAGTTTGTCTGTTTTAGCATTCTCTTTGTGCTTCGCACAGTTTGTTCTTGTTGTGCAGTTTACACACATTAACAATAACACACAGTAACATTATTAAAAAAAAACAATGATGTGTCAACAATATAAATCCCACATCACATTTTTTTATAATCCATGTAGTTGACTTATTGACTGATCGACTAATTGTTGCAGCCCTTCTTGATTTAACCTCTTAATTCCTTTATGATGGTATTTACATGCTTTTATTTTGAAAATATCAGCAAAAATATCTGATTACTGGTAGATATATCAGAATCGATGTCTGTTCCAAAAAACTCATATTATCCTCTGTTGCTTAGAGAATTTCAGAGGGTGATCCAGCTTTAGTGGTGTTAATTCCTCTTCTGTGTGACCTTTTGAGATGGTGGGTCAGATGAGAGAGGACTTAGCACTGTGAGGAGTGGGACTGTGGTGTGTGGCACATTTGGCGTGCTAATTATAATATCATAGCAGTGGAGGCAGTGTGGCATTTGTGGTAGTTGTTTGTGGAGTTATTTTGACAGATTTTTATTTTGAGTTTTATTTTCATAGATGACATCAATCACCGCTCTGACAGACAGACAAGAACTGCTAATGCTCATATGTACAGCAGACGTGTGAAATTTGAGCATTGTTGATGTGGTAGGAGGAAAAACAGAGAGAGAGAGACAGAGACTGTATTTGGCCTCTCTCTGGGGAATTAGCAGCAGGCAGGCCCTAATCTCTCACACTGCAGCGCTTGAACTGTCTGCTGCCTGGAAGATGCTTCTGTAGCCCATATTCTCACGTAACCTCTCTCTCTTGCTTTCACTTTCTCTCTCTCTCTCTCACGCTTTCTCTGATGCGCGTGTGCTCACACACACACACACACACACACACACACACACACACACACACACACACACACACACACACACACACAGTTTGCATAATTATCATGCCATAAAATGAGTCTAGTGTTTGTATTGCACTCCCTACTACTGTCCTGACTGTGTTCTCTCTGTTCTCCTTGGCTCTAGGTAAAGAGAACATATTCTCATGGGACGTACCGCGCTGGGGCCATGCGCCAGATCAGTCTGGTGGGGGCCGTGGACGAGGAGGTGGGAGATTACTTCCCAGAATTCCTCAACATGTTACAGCAGTCCCCCTTCCTGGAAGTGAGTAAAATACACATTTTCAGTACCGTATAGTCCTGGAGGATTTGGGTTTTGGGTTTTGAAGATCACGGTCTCAAAAAATAAATTGGAGAAAGCTGTCTGATTAAACATACATTAGTGCAGACATATCCAAACAGCCCAAAACATACCAAGTGGCTGAGTCTGACCCAAAAAATAGACATAAAAAAGACCTAAAAATTTCAAAGTGACTTCTTATTAACCAATAAGTAGATTTAGGAGTAGCAGTAGTGGTAGTAACTTTGTCCTTGTGGAGAAATGATTTTCCAGTGAGTCACTGGAAATATATCTTCTAAATGGGTGTCGTTTTAGTGTTAGTTTGCCTGAACCTAGCCTGTGCTGTGGTGTGTGACATGTTTGGCCTGCTAACTAAGCTGTTGTTGCTTTAGGCAAAAATGATACACTCCCAGACACCACTGAACAGGTTTAATGCTAAGCTAGCATTAAGTTAGCTGATAAGGCTACAGTCCAAACGCCACAAAGCAGGTTTAATTTCACCTTTTTGTCACTTCAGTGCTGGTTGCTTGATTTTCTCAGATTTAAGACCCTCTGATTTAAGTCTTTATCATTTGTACTTGTGTTGGTGCTATAGCCAGAATCGCATATGTTCTTTTGTGAGCAAAGCTAATATGATCATGCTAGCTAAGCTAATGCTAACCAGCTCCTCTTTCCTAGATGGCAGCACTGTTTAACATTTAGTAGTTGTTAGATAAATGGCTTGACATTTATTGAGTGATAGCTTGAAAGTCATGCGTTGCTTTCACTTATTTTGTGAACATGCAAGCCAACTAAACTTTTTGACTGTTTTTCGGTTTTGAAAAAGCGCTGGACGAGATGCCACAAAAGTGACATAAATGCTTTTACGTCACAACACTTTCACCCCTCCCGTAATATCATATACCACAGTAATATTTAGAGTCGGATTGAAGATATGAAACAAGTAGATAATGCTCAACCTCTGAGCAATCCACTTTCAATATTGTTTCTAACTCCATCACACACAAGCACACACGGCACTTCTGCAGAGCTTCAGCTCATGTTGTCTCTGCGCATATAAGGGTAATCTCAAGCAATTCCACATAGTGAGGTATACAGCTTTTAAAATTAAGAAGGAAAAAATGCAATTGGTGCTTCCCTGACATCAACACTGTATGATAAACAATCCAAAGTACTGTACAGATCACAGTTTCCTTTCAACTGTGTTATTTAACCAAATGTAATCACATGTGGAAGAAGAGTATTTGCGCTGTTTTTTAAAATGTGTGTGTGTGTGTGTTTGTGTTTGCGTGTGTGTAGCGGACGTTGCCGTGGGGAACGTTTTCAAGTCTGAAGCTGAAGAGTCCTACAGAGAGTGATGACGGGCCCATCATGTGGGTTCGTCCTGGAGAGCAGATGATTCCTGTCACTGACATGCCAAAGTCTCCCTTCAAAAGGAAAAGGTATGACTTTCTCACTACACATTCTGAACTGATGTTGTAAACTATTCACAGCATGACAGATTAACAGCTGACCTGTGTACAGATCAATGCAAGTGTGTCATGCATCAGGCTGGATAAAAAAGTGGTGTCACTGAGAGTGAAGCTTAACCGAAGTGTGTTTTTCTGGGCCAGTTATTAGCAGACAAAGAGACCAATAACTGATATATGGTTCAATATTCATTTGCTAGAAATTTTAAGTTTATGTGAAAATTTACAGAAACAGAACTCGTACACAGAATATTCATTAAGTGAATGTGATTTTTAATGAAATATTAACACCAAACATTTGAACCTTACAAAAATAAAGTGTGTGGAGCTTCCAGACAGTGCAAACATTTGACAATGATGAGAAAATGTAAAGATAGAAAAATGCATGTATAAACAGAACAGGTTTAAGATCGCATGGAGCAGGGTTTGATTTAAGCAGTGCAATAAGCACATGTATTTATTTATTTTGACTTCTTTGATTATGAGATTTTTTCAAGATACACATACGCTCAGCAAGCTCTTTATTAAGAACACTATTCTAATACTGTGTAGGGCCTCCCTTTTCTCTCAAAACAGCCTCAATTCTTTATGACGGAATCTTCAAGGTGTTGAAAACATTCCTTTCAGATTCTGTTTGATGTTGACATGATTGCATCATGCAGTTCCTGCAGATTTTTCAGGTGCACTTTCATGCTATGAATCTCCCGTTCTACTGCATCCCAAAGGTGTTCAGCTCTGGTGACTGGAAAGGTCACTGAAGAACGCTGAATTCATGTCATGTTCATGAAACCAGTTTGAGACGACTTTTGCTCTGTGGACATGGTGCATAATCACGCTGGAATTAGCCATTAGAAAATGGGTAAATTGTGGCCATGAAGGGATGCACATGGTCAGCAGCAATACTTAAATAGGCTGTGGCATTCAAACGATGATTGATTGGTATTAACTGGCCCAAAGTGTGCCAAGAAAACATTCCCCACACCGTTACACCACCTCCACCAGCCTGGACTGTTGACACAAGGCAGGTTGTGTCCATGGATTCATGCTGTTGGAGCCAAATTCTGATCTGTATGCCTCAGCAGAAATTGAGATTAATCGGACCATGTTTTTCCAGTCTTTAGCTGTCCAGTTTTGGTTAGCCTGTGGTCACTGCAGCCTCAGCTTTCTGTTCTTGGCTGACAGAAGTGGAACCCAAAATGGTCTTCTGCTGTTTTGTCCCTTCCGCCTCAAGGCTTGACGTGTCTTGTCTGTGTGAATACCAGTCTAAATCTTCAGTCTGTCTCTGTGCACCTGTAATGTTATTAGTTGTAAAACAAACACACTAGCTGTCATTATTAGGCTAGTCTAAAAGCACACACATCCACAGTTAATTTACACATACATGGAATTCAACCAAACTAGTAAAAACAAAACATTTTAAAAATCAAATCTATCAAATTGTATTTTTTTTGAGCCCTAAAAGTGCAATTTATTTTTACCACTCCAGTAAAGCAGTTAACTGTATATTAAGCCAAAAGAGTTTGATTGTGTTGAAGATCACATATAAACCTTTTATCTACAAGATGATAAGTTAAAGTGCTGATTCTAAAGATTGTAATAAACGATAAATGTCAGATGTAGTAATCAGCTCAGCCCTAGTCCACCCCCTAATGTTATCCCCCATGTTTCTCGGCAGCACGTAGTGACAAGGGCAAGTGTCAGTTCAAAGCTTTCTCTGTTACCTGTGGCTCTTTCTTCCCCCTCTCTCCCTTTCCTTAAAACGTCTTACTGTGCAGCCACACTGTGCTCGGAAGTAGTCCCCCGAATACCTGTGTTTAGTGATGTGGCTTTCTATGAAGATGAGCCATTTACAGGGAGTCACTCTCTCTATCTCTTCTCTCTCTCAGTATCTTCTCTCTCTTGTGCTCTCGTGCTCTCTCTCTCTCTCTCTCTCTCTCTCTCTCTCTCTCTCTCTCTCTCTCTCTCTCTCTCTCTCCCTCCCTCTCCCTCTATAAGATGTGATCGTCATGCTAAACAGAACAGGAGCTCGCTGCAGGCATAGCCTTTCTCTCTTCACAGGCAGAATGTCTCATCTTTCTCACACACACACACACACACGACTGTGCACACTAGTACTGTCTCAGAATTGTGTAGGTGAGTGTGCAAGTGTGAGAGATTAGGGAGACAGCAGTTCTAGTGTGAAAAATGCTGATGTTTGTTTTTGCAACTATATTCTTCTTTCCTGTTTTTCCTTTCCCCTATATTATTCTCCACTAAATGTAAGGTGATATTTCATCTGCTGCTGAACCTTGCACACACACACGCCTACGCTCTATTTAAGGTGTTGCCTCTGTTCGGTGGCTCCCCGAAGGCACGAAAGTTTTGTAGTTTGTGCTTCTTTCACTGCTTTACCCCTCTTCCAACTCCCCCAAGCCTCTGAGAGAGAGGAAAGTGTTGTAGATCTCTTGCTGTGCTGTGCTGGATGAAGGCTGAGGGGGTTTAGTCCACAGTGACCACAGTGATCTCATCAGGAGGCTGTTCTTGGCTCCAGAGCAGAGGGTTATACGATAGAACTGGGACCGCCGGCCTCAGCACTGATAAATCTAGCACGCCTACACCTGCAGACACACACACACACACACACACACACACACACACACACACACACACAACTTTCTTCACCTCCTACAAGTTCATACGTGCACAATGCTTGATTTATTTATCCAAGATGAGACGCTTCCTCCTTTTCCCCCTCTTGTCCATTCTGCTGCAATCCTCTGTTCCTCCTTGGTTCTTCGTTTCTACAAACCAGCACCAATTTTAAGTTTATTTATTAAAATTAATTTAAATGAATAGAAATGGATTGTGTGTAGTTTTTGACCAAAGGTGTGACTTTAAAGCTTCCGATAACATCAGGGTATGATTTTTTTTTGTGTAAATGTAATGGTAACTGGTGATGTGCATTCCAGCTCATTTTGATATTCAAGCGTCTTTAAGAGTTTGTGAACGGATATCCAATTAACCGCAGATTAGGGAAAACAAAGCCAAAAAAGGAAAACAATAAAAATAAAACTACTGTAGGCTTTCCTTTGGTCTGTGGAAAGATGATTAGATTAGATTAGATGATTTAAAGGTATTTGCTGATATATATGCCTAAAATGCAAAAATAAATCACTAAATAAATGTTTAGGTACAGATGTTGGAGTATTAAGTGAGGACGCAGCAATATGGGAATTGTCGGCCAAGGGTGATATCCTGTAATTTTATGCACATCAGCAGATGATATTATATTTAAAAAATATTTTAAAAATTAAATATTTAAAAATTAAAATATTTAAAAAATGAAAAATAAATAAAATGCAGATATTTTTGCCAAAAATGTTTTGCTCTTCCAGAGTACACTAAATACGTGAACAAATATCAGTTTTAAATCTAAATCTGAACGTCTGTCTGAGGCCAGCACTGTTATTTTAAGCAAATGTCTGCTGACAGTGATATAATTATGTTGCATCCCTACTTCCAAGGAATACCACTGGTTTAAAAATGCAGAAATTCAAATAGCAAAAATGCCTAAAATGTTGTTGTTGTTGTGTTGTCTCTATTTTTGCTTGTGGTTCTTGAACGCTCAGGGGGAGAAAGGACAGAGAGAATAGACAGATGTCTTCCAGCTGCTGTTTTGAACATGGGTTTTCTGATCATTACCAGTAATGAGCTTCATCACCCTTATGTGAAGTTGCTGACTGAGGCTTTGCCCTGACTGTGGAATCCTCAGAGGCTGTTTATTGACTAATTCACTCACTCACACTGGACACACCTTGCCCTGCTGTTCCCCGGTAACACTGGAAACAGCCTTGTCTGATGGGCCCCTCATCACACGCTCCCGCCCAGGCTCTGTGTGACACCGCAGCACGCTGGAGTGCTTTCTGTGTGTGTGTGTGTGTGTGTGTGTGTGTGTGTGTGTGTGTGTGTGTGTGTGTGTGTGTGTGTGTCAGAGCTTTGCATTCATTACTTTATCATGGTATGCAGCTCTCTGCTGCATACTAAGCAGGTCTGCTCACTGTGGTCTGATCTCTCTCTCTCTCACTCACTCACTCACTCACTCACTCACTCACTCACTCACACACACACACACACACACACACACACACACACAGTTTCATCACTGTATAGTGAGAATCACTAGAGACAGATTGGATTAGCAGGATCTTGACAGGACCTTATCACTCCTTCAGAATGTCAGCCTGCTATGACAAATATTAGTACACTTACACTGGCGAGAACATTGATTATACAGTAAATGAAAATGGTGACATAGACACATGAATAAATCGATCAGTGTTGTCATAAGAGATGCATGAATGATGATGATTGTAGCGTAAGAATATATTTAAAAAATCATTATTAATAATTTATAAAAAATAAATAAATGGCGTATACATGACTAGGGGTGTAACGGTACACAGACGTCACACTGCGGTTTAGACATCACGGTTTGGTACAAGTTCGGTACAACTGAGAGAAGCAACAAAAACCCCCAAATGCATAAGGCTACATTTCTTTTCATTTATTTTGAACAGAGGGAAGCACAAGTCGTATAATTTGCTGAGGTAACTTTAGTTGGTACAGCCTGTATGGTGGGTCATTTGCACTTGATGGGGAAAGTCGTCGAACGTTAGCTAATTTGTGTGTGATAATTAAACGTCAGTTGTGATTTTGTCGCTAGTAGCAGAGAAAACACATGAAATTTTTATTTAATTTTTTTTATTTTAAATCCTCTTTTAATATACCTTGATAGCTGCCTTCCTCAACTTTCAACTTTCACTCTCTGTTCACACACATCAAACTCAGCCTCACAGCTGAGTGAGAGTAAAGAGTTATGACACTCTCTACCTTTATTACAGCTTCCATTCTTTTCAGGAGACCTGCTCAAAGTTTCTCAAAGAAATCTGCAGGGATATTGTTCCACACCTCCAAAGTTCAGTCTTAGAACTTGGTTGCATTTTCTGCTTTTCACGGTCCAAATAAGCCTAACACTTTCAGTGATGTTGATGTCTGGACTCTGGGCTGGTCAGTCAGTTGTTTTGAGAACACCAGCAGGTATTTTTGGAGATTTTTTTCTTTGTTGTCTGTTTCCTTTTTTCAGCAATTGCTTGTTCACAGCTCCACATCATTTCAGACTCCTTTCATAGTGTTGAGTTGTCTTCTCTCAGTGGAAGGATGGACAGAAACTTCTGTGGATTATTTCAGATCTGAATCAAGAGTGGAGCTTGATTTTCTCCTCACTCTCAAAGATGAATGCTTTAAATGCTGTTTATGTGATGATGACAGTTTTGCAGGTCTAGCAGATCTTGCATGGTTGTTACGAATCCCACTTTCTTAATTTCTTTTAATAATTTTTGAATGCCAGTTTTGGCAGCTCTTGTTTTTTCCTCTTATTTTCCTGTGACTTTCCCCTTCCATACGTAAGCAGATGGTCTTCCAATCTAAACTCCCCAGAAATATTTCTTGAAAAATGACTAACTTGAACATAATGGCCTGGGATTTAAAAACCATAAATAGTGATCTCTGACTTTTGCACAGCACTGTAAGTGAGAGTAATATGGCAAAAGTATGAATGCATCACAATATTTTGTCTGAGGTTTGTTAATGTTGGACTACACACTATGAATAGAAAGATTTATTATTTTTTAACCCAGCATTTACAGAAATCCAGTATTTAAGAAAAGGCACTGGATTTTATTCGTGAAAATTAAATGAGATAAGGGCATTTTGGACGGTCACCCAGTCAGCTACTTGTTATAATGCAGTTTATGCAGTTACTACACAACGTCTGTTGTTTACAGGCCCTCTGTAATTAGTCTAAATCTGTCTTTATGATACAGGCAGTTGTTCAGTGTTCTCTCCCTCCCTCCTTCCCTCCCTCGCTCCCTCCTTAGCTCTCTGTGGAGTATAATGTATAAATAGCAGTGTTTGATATTCATAATTATATCCTGCTCTTAAAGGTCAACCAATGAAATTAAGAACCTGCAGTACCTACCTCGGACGAGTGAGCCGCGTGAGATGCTGTTTGAGGACCGGACGCGTGCACACGCGGATCACATTGGACAGGGCTTTGAGAGACAGACCACTGCTGCTGTGGGAGTGCTGAAAGCTGTACGCTGTGGAGAGGGGTGAGTTCTACCCACACATGTATGTACACACAAAGTGGATTTTTGATTTGTGATCATAGGGCCCTCGTATGATGCCGTTCAAGAGGCAGTGTGCTTACATTCAAATTGCACCTGTGGATGGAATTTTGGCATTGATTGACTCGGCCTGTAAGATCTGATAATGTGTTTGTGTCTGTGTGTGTGAGCAGTGCGGAGCCTCCTCGCATTACCAAAGACGTGGTCTGCTTCCACGCTGCAGATTTCACTGATGTTGTGCACCGATTACAGTTGGACCTTCACGAGCCACCTCTGTCTCAGGTGAGTTCCAGTCACTGCACCTTTACCTCACTGCAAACATCTCATCGTTCCTCTCTTGGTGTATAAGTGATCTTGGATCATCATGATACAGTACAGCTCTAGTTTAGGTCTGTGTGATGTAGAGAGATGTACGATGACATTGGAATCATTTTGGTATCGATCCACAGTAGTATAAATAAAATGTATTGGCATCAGACCTATGATGAGATTGGGCTGATAACTCAAACCAGTGTTAGATGGTATTTGTTTAGAAAGGCACTAATATTAGAGTACATGCAAACAATATTAATACAATTAATATTTTAAGTATGTTAATATGTAAGCGTAACTAATTTCCAAACCACTCCTCAAAGAAACCCAGTACTCACTGTACTTTGTATCCAGTACACTAAGTTAAATCAGGTGTGCTTATGGTGGATTTGAACAAAGTATACTTTGGCTTGGAGCATTGAGGAGAGGCCTGGAAGCGAACTCTTGTTCTTCACACCGTGCTCTACTAACATTGCTCAGTGTGTGTTTAATATTGTTTTTAAAAAAAAACACGAGACCTTCTTGTTGCCTTGTACTGCTTTTATGCTTGTTTGCTTATATTTTAATGCTATGTTCTGTGTTTACAAGCACAAACACAGTTGCCCAGATAAAATTTGTTTAATAAATTGCTTAGGTGCTTTATCACCATGTCCTATCAGTAAGGGATCGTTCAAAAGTAGGATCACATCATGTCGCAAAGCCTTCAGGATGCCTGCAGAGTAAACATCAAGCACGAAAAGTAAACAAACCACAAATCTGTCAGAAAATAGCTTGAATCTTCAGTTAAAATAAGTGACTATCGTAGCTATTGTTGTGTTGGGCAGCTCTGTTTTATCTGCTAGCTTTGTATCTACTATGTTTATTCATTCATTTGCTTCAAGGGCTCTGGCAGTTTCTTTCCAAATTGTTTCCTTTCTGTTAACATCCTAATAATATTTGCTGGAAGGGTTGTAAAGATCCCTCCTTTTCTCCACTTCATGGATGAATTTCTCCTCATCCATTTTTAGGTGGAATGGCAGAGCAACGTGATGCCTCCAAAATAGAAACGGGGCATTCGTGAAAAATGGCACGTCGCATCACACCACATCGCGCTGTGCCGCTGCAGCTGGTGTAGACAGCTTCATTGATTATAATGGGAGCGTTTTGATTTTTTGGTTCATTCGCATTGCTTGCTGTTAAGACATGGTGCAAAACACAGTATTGTATGTATGTGAAAAATATCGACAGTGGTCCAGAAATCCTGTATTACTGTGTAAATGAAGCATGTAAACTCTCATGAGCAAAATCTTGAAATAGGGAAAAGAGTGATCCAGTTGTTTTAAAGTTGATGGTATTGGTAGAAGCATTACAACAAAGGTGATAGGTATCCTGATCGTACTGCTTCTCTCACCTTGAAGTGTAAAGTTTTCAGAGGACACAGTGCTGTTTTGCTGACGTATTGATGCTGAAGAGCTTTTGGTAGAAACAGTGTGGGATCACTTCAGGAATCAGTGCAGCATCAGATTCGCTCTGAATGGCTAGTAGGGGTTCAGATCTCCCAGCACTTGAACATGAGACACCAGAAAATAAGGCTCAAACTAGATTCATCCAAGTCTATGTTTAAAGTGCTGTTGGAGGATTATGTAATGGTCTTCATATCTTGATGAGTACCATTACAGTAAATGCTTGGAGAGCTTTTCTCAGTTCAGCACGCTATTAAGTCTGTTAGACTAGTAAAACAAGGGCTTTATTGAATGAGCTCATAATTCTGAATGAACCTACTAAAGAGTTATGCTATCTTGATTAATTCGAAAGCAGTGCTTGAAAGTAACCATAGAACTTTGCATCTTTACATCTGACCTGAAGCAGCTCTTAGAGTTCTGATATTGGCTATAATTAATTACAGAGCCGTCACTCCACTTTTTTAGCCATTGACATCCCAGTAACAGTAAAACTGACTCAACTTTGTCACCTGTTTACTTTGGTCCTGTTTACATTTGTCATTTGATTGCATCCAGTGCCTGGATATTGTCCATATATATGCATGTAAAAGCAATTGTAACGTTATTTTGTGATTTGTAATATATTCCAAACTTACTGAGCACATATTGTAATCAGACGTGTGTGTGTGTGTGTGTGTGTGTGTGTCTGTGTGTGTGTGTGTGTGTGTGTGTGTGTGCGCCAGTCTCATGCGGCCAGCTGGTGCTGTGAAAACTGATGCATGTTTTAGCTTAGAAGTAACCGGGTCGACTTACAAATTTTGAGTTTGTTGAACTTCTAGTATTGTGAGAGCAACAGAGCAATAATCTGTTTTATATTTGTTGACTTTTTTTCAGTGACTTAGTTCAGTGAACTCAAAATTCAACAAAAAGGCTAGAAAAGTTTAATTATTTTTATTAGGGCGGCTGCCTTCCTGGCTACCTACACAGTCACATGCTCACCTCCCACTGCTTTCAATATTGTTCCTAACTCTATAATTAAACAACTTATTTTCATCGTTTGCACATGTATTCAAGCTTTGCCTTAAGAACGCAAAAGCTAAAAAAATGTGACTTGCTGTCTTTAATTTTCTGTAATTTAAAATGTCTGAAATGCTTTACATTACAGTTGCAAAATGTTTATAGAGCATTAAACACAGCATAGCCAGACTGATTTAAAAGTGTAAATATTTTGTGGAGAAAATGAGATCTGAATGTAGAAGTTAAAATTGAATTGTGCAAGTGTAAACAGACCATGTCTTGATCGGATGATTATCCAGTCACCATGATCCAATGTTATTGGCAAATGTAAACAGAGCCTTCTTTTACTATTGCTGTTTAAGCTGATCCCTGGTTTGATCTACACAATTGTTAATTGCTTTCCATCCAGTGTATCAGAGAGGAGGATACCTAAAGGTATCAGCTGTGCAGATAATGTTCGTAATGTTCAAGCCACAGAAGAATGTGAACACATAAAGTTCTGATTTCCCAGATCTGCATTAAAAAGCATTTTACTGGTGAATCATAGCTGCCGTTGCGGTTTAGTTCAAGATTAGGCTTAGTCCATGTCCGGGAAACCAGCCCATAGTGTTCAAGAACAGGCTAAGCTTAGTCACAACTCTGAATGAAGTTATAGTCAAGCAGATCAAGCTGAGTCACAGACGGGAATGAAGCTTTACATTTAGGAAAATCTTAGCTGCCTCTGCATTTTTTAGATTTTCTGAGATAAACTTGAAAAGTCTCTCACACAAAATAACTCAGCTGTTATGGTTTACTGGATTAAATGTGTATATTACATTATCTTGATCTGGGATCTCTTTCAGTCTTTATGTTAATGAAAACAACTACGTGGATAGAGCTGCAAGATCTGCGGTTGTTTTCTGTTGGCTTTATATTAAAGGCTCTAGCCAGACTCCGCATAGTTGGTAACACTGACCCCTGCTGGACAGATTGAGAACTGTTCCGGTGGTATACTGTATTATATGTTGAGAGCCTGAAGGAGGAACTGATCTCTCAAATCTTTCTCTCATTAGCCCAGATGGACTGCTGTTTGTGAAAGGTTTAAAGAGCAGTTATGGAATGAGTACTCACACCAACAGGTCAAATACTCTTAAATGCTGTGCAAAGAGGAAGTAGGTATAGTTGAGCCTGTCTTACTGCACTAGTTTAATACACACAATGGGCATCTGGTGAACTGTCTATTGTCTTAGCTTTGTTTGACATGTGATTGATTGGTATATCATTGTGTACTGTGTGTATATACTCAGTGTCCTGGCTAGAAGGTACATAATTCTGTGCTATTGCTGTATCTAGTACATTTTATATTTGTAATCCACTTATTATTGCTGCTGTTGTACTTATAAGTGGAATGCTTTTTAGTCTGCTAGCAACAAATTATATGTTCTGGCAACCATGCAGGTGCTGTCTAGATATTTTATGGATATTTATGTAAATGCATTTTCATCAGTGTGAAAATTAACATGTACGTATAAGGCTAAAGCAGGTGAGACAGTTTATCTGACTTTGTGTTATGCATAGTGAGTTTGCTGCAGAATAAGAAAATCAAACCTTTGTTCATATCAAATAAATAATCTACTATTCTCCCCTTGAAATGCTGAAGTTTGCAGTCCTGGATTTGTGGTGGCATTAAAGCAGTTTTTCATGGAATAGGGAGGTGTGCCTAAAAAAGACGATTAATTTTTTGTAAATTGGCGAATGTTTAGGTTTACCTAAAGCGTTCATAAATGTCCAACATATGTCTGAAAGTATGCAGACCCCTTCTAATTAGTGAATTAACTGCACTTATTGCTGATAGAGGCATTTAATTGTGCATGCAAATCTTGTATAATCTCCTCAGAAAAGAATTGCTAATAGAATGGGATGCTTCATGAGCCTGAAGTCACAATGACCGGTGTCTAGTGTTGAGGTGTATAAAGTCTCCAAGCACTGGCTTGGGGAACAGTGGAACTGTGTTCTTCTGAAGTGATGGAGCTCTGTCCAAAATCGGGATGAATTGGAATGAGATTTATTATCCAGAACTAATCATTTAACATCAGTACCTGACCTCACTAATGCTCTTGTGGCTGAAATACTCACAGTTCCCTTTGCTGTTTTGCTGTCCCGGCAGTAAAACAGAGACGGAGTCCCTATTAATACTAGGGCCTGACCAATAGTAAATTTTTTTGGCTATTAACGTTTTGAGGGGGGTAAAAATTCAGAAGAACGGTAATATTGGCTGATTTTATAATTTATTTTACATTTGTTCAATTTTATTTGCTCCAGTAGTTTTAGTTAAAAAGGGCTCATATGATTGACAGTTCTCCATTATCACGCTTCTTAAACGCAAAACAAACCCAGCAGTCTTAATATATTGTATCCTTCCTGGTGGAGCTATGCAAAAGGCTTTGCACTTTTGTTTTCTGTTTTTTTTTTTTTCCTTTTTTTTGTGTTATGAAATGTTGTTCTCATAGATATGACATCTTGAGTTGTTCAGAGGCACAACTGTGTAAGGTTTTGCCTTAGCATCAAGAGATTCAAATCTCACTGATGCCACGTTAAACATAGCCACAAATAATCAGCTGATATAAGGGACTTGTGGTGTAATCCCGCTAATATCCCGGTAATTAGCGTCTGTTTTGGATTGCGGGACCATTAGCGTCTGTTTTGGATTGCGGGACCATTAGCGTCTGTTTTGGATTGCGGGACCATTGGGATTCGAACTCTCCATCAGCCATCCGATATATCAGTCAGGCCCTAATTAATACCCTTGATTTCAGAACAAGCAAAGGGTGAGCAGGTTTCTACAAACTTTTCCACACAGTGTATAAAACATTAAAATATTCAGCTAACACCAGATCACTCATAGAAGAGGCCAGTAAAGGCTGACACAGTATGGACTGTTTTCAGTACCTACCTGTTAACCTTAACTATCAAAGCACTGACCCTGGAGCTGCGACATCTGAGTACAGCAGGGATGCTAAAAATGTTTTCATTACATCTTACAGTTGACTGTAAAAAGTATTGCTGCATACTTCATACAATCATAGAGTAAGTGTACCGACACCATGGCTACTGACTGCATGTTGAGTAATTTTCACATAGCAGTTTGTAATGGTTTGTTTTATGTAACATCACTTAACAGATAACTCTCTTTGTGCTGTCCTCAGTGTGTGCAGTGGGTGGATGACGCAAAGCTGAATCAGCTGAGGCGAGAGGGGATCCGCTATGCTCGAATCCAGCTCTATGACAACGACATTTACTACATCCCCCGCAGCGTGGTCCATCAGTTCAAGACGGTCTCAGCCGTCTGCAGCCTGGCGTGGCACGTCCGCTTGAGGCAGTACCACCATAGTGTGGAAGAAGAGGCGCCAAAGGAAGAAGAGGAGGACAAGAAGCCCCCGTGTATCAAACAAGAGCCTCTGTGTATCAAACAGGAGCCACCCTGTGAGAGCCTGAGCGCCCCTACAGCTTCACCCGTCTCCACCGATACCAAGCCACCCAGAGATGTGCCCCACGTGCCCCAGATTAAGGTAGAAGAGGTGGAGCCCCTCCCTGAGCGGATGGCCAAAGCCCTCAGTAGTGCTCCCAGCAGCTCCAGTGCTACGCCGCCTCTGGCCCACACAGCCGTGTCAGAATTTCGACCCAAAGCACACCATCATCATTCAGAATGTGGAACCACTCCTACACACGCGGTCATGGCCAGGCCAGCACCCAGCCTGACCTCAACAGCGCCCAAACACACACACCATTCTACACCAACCAAACACACGCACACCTCGATGCCAACCAAACACACACACACCTCTTCCTCAACCAAACATCACACACACTCCAGCTCGACGTCCAAACACACCCACTCTTCTTCCACGCCCAAATCCACCCATTCGACCACGACGCCAACCAAACACGTGCATTCTTCCAGCACAACCAAACACACACACACTATCCCAACATCCAAACACATGCATTCCCCTAATCCTAAACCCAGCTCTGGACATTCAGACAGTCGGACTGCGCCTCCCCAGCACCAAGTTCTGCCTCAGGCTGTCCTGCCCCAGTCTCAACCCCAGCAGCTGCCCCATCCCCAGCAACAGCAGCACCAGCCCCAGCCTCGGCCAGACAGAGGCCAGGACTCTCTCCACCCAAAGCCTGTTGTCATGCCGCAGGACACGCGGCCGCACCACCCGCTCAACCCCCTCCTGCATGAACAGCAGAAAGACTTTTTATACTGATTATACTGATTTGTACATAACTGTTTTTAAAAAATTGCATTTCTTTAATTTTATTTCAAGGTTTTGGGTTAACTTTCTGTTTGTATTGATCCGATGAGGCGAAGATAAAGGAAGGACGAGCGTGACACCAACAGCAGCGTGTGAGGTGGAAAGCAGCAGAGTGGCAGACCTCCAGCAGGGCGAGAGTGCGGCTCGCTCCCTCTCCCTAACGTTACCGATGGAATACATAGCAAATGTAGCGCGTAACATTCCTCAGTGCCTGCCTGTAACTGTGAACTATCAAAGCACTTAGGGCCAGCTGCACTGCTACCCTGCAGGTCGGAAAACAAAAACCCCACAAACAGGTCCTTAAATAATATATTTTTAAGTTGTAGGCTATAGTTGTATTAGAGCTGACATGAACATATATATTTTTAAGATGAGATGAGACAGAATTCTTTTAATGACTCCAGGCTTTTCCATAGAGCTTATTTATATCAAGGTTGTTTTTTGTTCCATTTTTATTGTCAGCACTGTAGTGTATATAACTTTTTTCTAAGAAAATGTGTAGTTTGATTTATATCTAATTAAGAACCTCGTAATAAAAAGTTCTTGATATTGGATATTGTCGTCATGTAAACAAGGGCTACACTGAACGATCATGTGTGTAATCCAGACTGGCTCGGTGTTCGGTAGGCCGCCCTGACCTACCAGCACGCTTCCACTTTCATGATTAATCCAGAAACGTTTCCACAGTTACTCTGTGTAGAACTTAAGACAACTGTGTTTGGAGATGACTGAAGATTAAAAGCATAGGATCACCGCACAGTGTGTTTCCTTTTGTCCTGTTTCAAAACGTTTCATCGTTTGGCCAAAAATCTATTTTACAGAATTTCTTCATTATGCCAGATGTAGTTGATCAGGCAAAACATGTTTGGTGTTAGTTCACTGGAGCTGTGAGGCTAATGGAGCTAAGAAGTAATAGAAGCCTATGGCTACCACTTAGCATTGTGCAACCCATGTGCTTGAATCCTCACACATTTGGATTAGTCAGTGTTGAGATTTTAAGTAATTTTAAATGGACTTGTGTTTATTATATGTGGGTTATGACATACTGTGTCCTGCTATAGCTGCTACTACTGTGTTTAGCTACACCATATAGTTTTGTCAATATTAATAGGTAACAGTGTGCCACGGTTGGTGACATTAGCCTCATAGCTCCAGTGCAGACCTAAAAAATAGACATCAAGCATGTCGTTTGGGGTGGAGGACTATGATGCATATTAGATTTTTCACTGAACCGTCACTGTAAGGTTACATTTACTCTTGTCCACTTGGTAGTTCCTAGAAGGCTAGAAATCCCATGGTGATTCTCACTCTGAATGCGGCTTATTCTGGTGTTGCAGTGAAGCCGTAGACATTGTTTGGAGTGAAATGAGTAATGAGGCTTGGTAGTTGGGGTTTCTAAGCCATACTTAGTGTGGCCGGAGCTGGAGGGGTATTAACTTGCCTGTGTCAGTGTTTGTAGTGTTATGTAACACGGCCACCCACACTGTGAAGTGTGATAGCAGTGAACTCGGCTATGCTGGTGTGTGAGTTCATGTCGTTGAGCCTGGGTGATGTCCTGGAAGTACCCATTACTGAGGGATGTAATTGATGGTGTTGTTTGAATATGGCAGTGAGCTAGTTTGTCCGTGACCTTACAATAAAATGTCTGATATTTTGCATGTTCACGAAATGTTTGCAAATGAAATTCTGTGGCCTGAGAATTTCAAGAGGCTGAGCCAGAATCACCCACAATTAGCAGGGCTTATGTATTTATTTGAAATTCAGTGAAGAGTTTAACTTGGAAATAGGACAGCCGGTAAGAATGGAGCTCCAAACCAGACTTCACTTTCGAAGAAGCCTTGATTGACAGCTGAGATCATTGACATTTGTGGTAGTTTCATGTAAGTGTTACATGCAGGCTGTGCTTGTAGTTCTGCTGTTGGTCATAGTCAGGTATTTAAATCAGGTATTTAACATAGTAGTCTTGATAGTCTTGTGCTTCTTTTGCTCCAGTAACGTCTATTTTAAAAGGATGCCATCTACCCACATGTAAGTGGTATTACATGAGCCAATGCAAGAGACTAAACAGTTACAGCAGTTGTGGCAACTGCATGCTTTTCAGACTTGTGAGTTTTCCCAAAAGATCTGATTCACTTATCGGCGCATTCATGAGCTGAGTGAGTAAAAACACCTGCAGGGATTGAGGACTGCTGAGTTATCTATTTTGCTAAATTGCATTGCATGCCTCCTCTACACTCACATACTGAGCTATGAGTTTTTAATCCCTAATGAAAAATGACAGTGGACTGGGACTAAACTCTGAACAGTCTAAACATGCCACAGCTGCAAGATTACTAACGCTTCTTACAATCTTTGCTTGACCTACAGTGTGGCCGATGGCATGTAGTTGCTGGTTTAGCATGCATAATTCCCAAATCCAGAATCACTGATACTCTTCAAACCAAGATGCAAGCTGTAAACAGCACTGCTACAGGGACAGCATTTCACTTTTACTTAACAAAGCAATAACTCAATGTGGTTTTTGATCGTTTAACTGATTCAGGAGGTTCATTCTGTGCTTCACACTAAGCCGTTCACTACTCCCTGGTCACTTTTACACTTCATCTCTTGGTAACCCAAAAGTTGCAGGGGTAATTAATCTAGACATTGTTTCTTTCATGAGCTATTACTGAAAAATAGCTTTCAAATGAAACAGCAGGACTTGCTTTTATCTACATTATTTAAAAATGAATGGATCTTCCCAAGAGGAAGTGGCTAGGGGAAGCAAGTTAGCGCTTAAATTGTAATCAGACCAGGACAGCAATTCCACTTTTAACTCCAACCCCACGAGTGATATGAAAACAGCTTATCAACATGTATATTTATTTTTGGAACAATTCAACAGATACAGTTAATGTTGAATAATTTACAAAGTGCATGCTATATAAAACAATAAAAAATGTGCAAAATAAGGAAATGCAATGTCTGTACATGGGTAATAATGGCACAACATCGAGGGATTCTTCAGATTATCCACCATAAATAGTCTTTGAACAGTCATACAGAGTGTATGTACGCTTCAAAAGGGCTATCACAAAAAGATCTTACATTTCTGACCAGCAAATGCCACTGACTCCAACATTTAAAGCAGTGATGACCTCCTGGAGAATCATCTTCCTGCAGGTTTCACATCCAAGCCCAATCTGATCCACCTCATCAAGGACTTATGAAGTTAAGAAGTAGGTAAATTGAGTGTGGCACATTAGGGGCAGAGCACAACTCTGCACAGCAGTAGATGTAGGAGCAGGGTTGATGACCACTAAATTAAACTAGTAACAGACTAGAACAGACTGGCTAAATCCTTAACTGGCAATTGCCAGTTTCATCAAGACTTGATTTGCAGAGGAACAGAGCATGATGATCATAGTTTGTTTCAGTGGATGTAGTTATTGGTGCAGTACTAAAAAATGGCCTACCTACTGGAGTTATAGGGTCTTTACATGTTTTTTTTATTCAGTTAATAAATGAATGATCATAAATTTTGGCAACCAAACTCTTCTTAACAGTCAGACAAATTCAACAGTACTATATTCTGATACTAAGAGCAATCTAAAAATGACTGAGGTCACTGCTAGCCATCATGTCTGGAAGACTGGAGTTAGTAGCAGGATCTTGTTAAAGGCAGTGAAGTACATGTGAATTTTGTAGATGAATGATTTTTCATCTGCGGTGCTACAGTTTCACTGATTACAGCTTAAAATCCCTTCAATTTCTTAAGCTGCACTGTCCTACTTTCAGTCGTTCATGCTTCTTTAATGTATTTGCGATGTGACTTGGTTTTTAGCTAGTTTGTTTCACATGTTCTGACCTGGCTTGAAATCAGATGGCTTCATTCAAAATCCAGCAAAATGTTTTGCAGTAAGTCATTCTGACAGCTCAAACTCAGATCCAGAACTTTATGTAACATCAAAACACACTGAGGAGGACCTTGTGCAGTTGGATGCTGTCAGCTGTAAAGTCTAGAAGACAAAAAAGGCAGGCAAGTAGATGTAGTCATGAATCAGACATTTAAAATCAAATTCCTATGAAGAAACTAATGCAGAAAGAAGGCTAGGGTGCCTCTGGCATTACTATGTCCCAAAATCATAAAAAACCAAACTGGAGGCTGTTAAATATCAACTGTTTGAAAAAGAACAGCATTTGTTTGGAATCATAATTACCGGCTGGTGTGCCAATGTAGCCCTGCAGTTAGCTAACAAGGGGCCAAGTTCTGCAGACAAAAGGAATTATGTGCTTCTACAAAAAACAAAAACGGTTGTAAAAATGCTTAACCAATGTTGTAGGACATTTAAAATATATCAGACTTCAAACTGGACAAACTACAGACATCAACCATCCAATCTACTAGACTTCCAGACATTAAGCAAGCACTGACAGCACAGATATCTTCAGACTCCACACAGAAATATGACCACCTCAATATCCAGTACACAGTATCACCTGGACAAACAGCCATAGCTGTGAAATGAAACCTGCCTGTTGGGGCCAGAGAACGAAATGAGTTTCAAATCCATGCCAGTCATTTTGTTCTGGTCAATCAATCACAGAGACGAGACAGAGCAGGATGTACTGCCTTCTTTCTCAGTGCAAGGTGCACGTAACCAAGAACTCCCTCTCCCTCATTCCACAATGAAACTGTCCTGAATCCAGCCAACAGTGTAGAACCCACAATGGCTGGGACTCATCTAGTACAGAAATAATGTTGAAAAAATGGTAACGGTCAAAAAGTCAACTGCCTTTCTCCTTTGAGATTGTCCTGGTCAGTCCTGTTCGATTGTGAAACAGTCTGCAAATGTGGCACTTGTGAAAAGCTGTGTTGGATAGCAGGACGTGAAACACAAACTCAAATACACATCTGTGTTAAATCCTTTGCCTTCAGTACCGCTCTGCACATTGTCTGGCCCCCCACTCAGCATCATCTTCATCACTGTAGGGGGCCTGTGTCAAAACGACAGTTCAGCCAGAAATCTCAGATTTTTCAGCGTTGTACATGTTTTTGCTTTTGTTTTGCACTGGAGCTAATGTAGCTAACAAGTAATAAAAGCTTATAGCCTCCTGGTTAGTATCGTACAAACTGCATGCCTAAATCGTGTTTTTCTGAGCTATTAAAGGGCCCACATCATAAAAAAATAATAAAAATTCCACCTTTTTTCAAAAAAAGTTTGATGTAGTACATGAACACCAATAAAGTTTCAAAACATCCCGCTCACTCAACAAGTCCACACAGTCCCTATATGGAAACTGCTGCAAGAACAACCAGTTTGCATTCAGTATTTAGTGATGTCAATCAATACATTTATATTTGTCCACTTATTCAGTCTACAGCAGTTTAGCCCCACCTATTCTTGCTGAAGTTATAAAGAGGGTTTCAGCCTGGACTGTTTTCTTGAATAAGGCACAATACAGGGCAGCCAATCAGAATAGAGGTAATTTATCAGTACTGAAGTTGCAGTTACAAAAACAGCCTATTTAATTGTAAGGAATTAAGAAAAGCTGAAAAATAGACATGTAAAAATGACCTGAAATGACTGTTGTGGTATATGAAATCACTTAATTGGGGGGAAAAAAATAAATAAATTACTAGAAAAATGAAGGATGTGGCCTCTAAGTAATCTAAACAGATTTGCATATGTGGTTTATTGTATGACATACTGTTATCAACAAAGCTACGATGCTAACCTGGCAGCTATCAACTTCTATTGCTCGTTCGCTCCATTAGCTAAACAATCAAACTTTAGACACCAGACATGTCTTGGCGAATCAACTACATTTGAAATAAGATGAAATCTGTGTCAATTTTTGGCTGAACCATCAACGCCAGCCCCACTGTGGGGGGGGTGTGTTCATCTGCCCCCAGAGTCACTGTTCTCCAGCATCAAGAATCAGTCCCTGCGCTGAGGGAAGATATTAGCCCCTAGCTCCACCATGGCTCCGGTCAGCATGGTCCACAGTGGGATGCAGATGTAGACCAGGCGAAGGTTAGTGAGGTGCTCCAGCCGGGCACACAGCGTGACACAGAAGCCCAGCTTCAGCAGCAGAGCCATGAGGTACCACACCTTTCTGCGCAGGCCAGGAGCCCCCTGGCGTAGGTCATGACCCGCCCTGCACCGGCCCGCCATCTTCACCCCCAGCATGAGCAGGAGGATGCTGTCGAAGATCCACAGGGGGAGGAAGATGAGGAACCAGTTCCAGGTCACTTTCCCATCCAGCTTCAGGACCAGCATGGTGAGGAAGACTAGAGTGAAGAGCCAGGTGAGGAGAACACGCTGCGCTAAAGACATCTTCACTCCTTAACTGCCGCACCTGCAGGGGGTGGGGACACTGAGCTTCAGTGAATGTGTGGTAGTGGGTACTTGAGTTAAAGTGGAAATACTGAGCAAAAGCAAACGTGTATAAAAGCAAAAAAGGATTTATATTTACAAATACTCAGCAAAAAATAAACATTTTGAGAGTTTTCTTTTTAAGGTGGCGTGTGGTGCGGTGATAAATCTGTGATTTTGTTCTTTGAAGTTCTTATGAAAATGTAAGGAATAAAAGTATTAGGGATGCACGATGATACCAGAGTCATATCATGATCGGGGAATATTTGCTTTTAAAAAAAATTTGCATTTGACAGAGGCCTAGATTTGACTAATATTTGATGATGTATTTGTTACGCTCCAGAAGAGCAAAATGTTTAGGTGACTGTGAGCTACTGTGCTAAAATACATGCATTTTATTATTATTATTTTTTTTACAGCATTTGTAACCCTCTACAAATCATTTCTGCATTTTATAATTTTTTATGTACTGCCATAATCAGATGTGTACATGAAAAGTATGGGATATCAGTATAAGCCCATAATTCCCATATCTGTGCATTTCTAAAAAGTATGTTGTTGTTTTTTTCCATCTTGGAAATGTATTCGAGAAAAAGTACAAGTATTAATTTTCAATAATACTAAAGTGAAGTACAAATATTCCAAAATAACACTTAAATGGGAGCAATACAAGAAGAGTGTTCTAAAGGCAAATTAGTCCCCAAAGACGACTCTCTTTTTTCTGACTTTTTTCTATTTCACCATCAGCAACATTACGTATAAAAACTGGTGGTTTTGGATACATTCTTAAAAAGATCGTTCTTCAAGAGTTCTTTAGTAAAGTAAATGGTTCTATATAGAACCATGGACACTCAAAGAACCCTCTGCATGATAAAAAGTTTCTTTGCATCAAAAAGTGTTCTTCAGATTGATGAATGTGCTGTAGATAGTTAGATATAAAGCTTTTCTGAAAAGGGTTCTATATAGCACCGAAAAGCATTCTAATATTGTTGCGAGTCAAGCTTGTAACAATAGAAGAACCCTTTTTGGTGCCTTTTTCAAAAAGGTTCTATACAGAACCATATGCAACACATTCTCCATTAGTCTGAAGAACCTTTTCACAATGCAAATAACCCATTAATCATGCAAAGGGTTCTTTGAGTGTCCATGGTTCTATACAGAACTATCATCTTTGCTAAAGAACCATTGAGGAACCATCTTTTTTAGGAATGTAGTTAACAATATGGCTATGTTTGCATTGTAGACGTCGGGACTCCTGATTCCTCACCACCACTGTGGAAATCTGAGTCCTTAAGTTTCTCTGCAAATGAACCACTTCACATCAACCCACACTGAATGACCCTGTTTACACCTCAACCACTGCAGAAATTTTAAAAGATCGGTGGAACTCCCCTTTAAATACAGTACTCAGGTATGCACCGATCAGGCATAACATTATGACCACCTCCTTGTTTCTACGCTCATTGTCCATTTTATCAGCTCCACTTACTATATAGGTGCACTTTGTAGTTCTACAGTTACAGACTGTAGTCCATCTGTTTCTCTGTGTACTTTGTTAGCCCCCTTTTACCCTGTTCTTCAGTGGTCAGGACCCCCATGGACCCTCACAGAGCAGGTACTATTTGGGTGGTGGATCATTCTCACCACTGCACTGACACTGATGTGGTGGTGGTGTGTTAGTGTGTGTTGTGCTGGTACGAGTGGATCAGACACAGCAGTGCTGCTGGAGTTTTTAAACACCTCAGTGTCACTGCTGGACTGAGAATAGTCCACTAACCAAAAATATCCAGTCAACAGCGTCCTGTGGGCAGCGTCCTGTGACCACTGATGCAGCAGCAGATGAGCTATCGTCTCTGACTTTACATCTACAAGGTGGACTGACAAGGTAGGAGAGTACTAGAGTGGATAGTGAGTGGACACAGTGTTTAAAAACTCCAGCAGCACTGCTGTGTCTGATCCACTCGTACCAGCACAACACACACTAACACACCACCACCACATCAGTGTCAGTGCAGTGGTGAGAATGATCCACCACCCAAATAGTACCTGCTCTGTGAGGGTCCATGGGGGTCCTGGCCACTGAAGAACAGGGTAAAAGGGGGCTAACAAAGTATGCAGAGAAACAGATGGACTACAGTCTGTAACTGTAGAACTACAAAGTGCACCTATATAGTAAGTGGAGCTGATAAAATGGACAATGAGCGTAGAAACAAGGAGGTGGTCATAATGCCTGATCGGTGTAGCTGCTTAAGTAATTTCCACCATAGACATGTTTTCCACCCATGTGCACCTGTACACACATACACGGTAAGACGTTTAACGTGTTAGGTGAAACGGGAGTGACCAGATAATTCATCACAGTCCGGCATTAACACAGGAGTCTATAAGCCCGAGTGAAGCGATGTGAGGCTCCTCACTGACTCTCCTCTATCAGCACCCAGAGAGCCGCTACCGCCACAGCGCCCTGCAGCTACAGTCACGTCTGACACCCATGTCATCTGTCTGTCTGTCTGCTGTCTGTCTGTCTGCGGGGTTCAGCTCCGTGTTCCGCTCCTACACCGTTAGCTCGCTCTTCCTCTTCCTCTCCTCCTCCTCATCCTCCTCCTTTTCCTCCTCTACTCTCCCTTCACTGACCTGACCCTCCGTGCAGTCAGCGCTGCTGCTCCTCCTCGGCCTCCAGTGAGACCGCATTCACAGGCCGTGACGGAGGAGACCGAGTGATGGTCAGGACTCCGCAGTTCGCCATATTCAGCTCCAGGTTTCTGCTCCGCTCTCAGTCCGCCGACTCGCACACACCGTTTGACCGCGACTGTTGTATTTCCGGGTGCAGGTTTACCGTAAGGCTGGTCTATATGCGCACACAGACTGAGGACTCATACTTTCTGTCTCGTCACCGGTGCTACCTTAAAATCCATTTTAATTTTATTCTTTATGAATATATTTACCCACTCACTCGTTGCAGGTAGCGAAATATCACGAGTAGCTCATAACTTAACCGGACACAATACTTACCGAAAAACGCATAATTACATCGTCGAGATGTAAATAACGTCGTTCAGAGTGGTTTGGTGTGAAACGGTACATTGTAGAGAACCTCACCTTCTCAGAATTGTTCACGGTGGCGGTGATAGGAACCAGACGTCCACCTCTGAAAGCTCCCTCACAGAAAGCTCGGACACAAAGCTCTCATGGTTGCCCCTTTGTTTTACGATAGTTCAAGATAATGTTTTAGACATTTTTTATATGAATCCATTCATGGTGGAGAGATAAATGGAAGGCGTTGCGGGGCAAAATATTTCCCAAAGAATTTTGTTTTTAAATGTATCACTGTCTTATCATCAGCATTACATATAAAAACGTGACGCGTGTTGATTCACTGTTTTTTTGTAGTAAATAAAATGCCTATATTTGTCGACATGGCGACCTCTGGTTCCTATCAACACTAATGTAAAGAAATCAGTCGGTTTCACAGCAGTTAACCATTTCACATTAAACCACTCCGAATAACTCTCAACCATTGACCTACACAGAAACTTCGAAAAATCGGTGGAATTCCCCTTTATAGTAATCGACACGGCGCTAACGCGCTTCCCTCAAGTCACCACAAGAGGGAGCCAACGCCGCGCCTCTGTCCAGGGGAATTCCCTCCGCCTCGCGTTTCTTTCTGTTTGAAGCAGTTTGGTCACCGTTTATGATACAGCGCTGAAGAACATGTTCTTGTGGAAGGTTTCTGAAAGGTTACCTGCGTCTGCTCCGTGCTTGTTTTCCTGCAGCGCGTCGCTTAACGGATTTATCGAGCGTGCGCTTATACACCGTCTAGCTCGGTAAGGAGAGCGAGACAGAGAGAGAGAGAGACTGAAGCTGGCTGCGGGTCTACAGTAAACGGACTGGAGGTCAGCAGAAGAAAAGGAAATCAAACCCGCTGTAGAAACCCTGCACACCAGCGTCTCCCGCACACTGTGACACACACGTTAGCGGAAAGCTGTTGTTTGGGTCCGTCAGCGAGTTGAATGCCGGCGCAGAGCTGTTCATAGAGGTAAGACTCCGCCGTGTGTGAGTGTAGTGCACATAACCGACATAACCGTTTCTCCGGTTAGCCGCTCTCTCTCTCTCTGTAGCTCCATCCGTGCTCTGAGCTCTCGGCTACACCAGCTGTCCCTCTCCGTGTGTGAATGTGTTCATTCCTAAACCCCAGTAGCTCCAAACACGGTCCAGATAAACATTTGTGCTCGTTCTGCTCGTGTCTCCGCTAACTAATACAGTTGGCTGGCTTCCTGAATCAGAGCACAGAGAGCTCGACAGTCGTGAGTGAAACGAGCCCAACGCTACTGATTTTGTTGGCTTTGTAAAGCAGCAGCTCCTCCACTGCAGCAGCTCCGCACAGACCAGGCCCGTATCAACACTGTCCGGCCTTTTAATGCCCCCTAATACGAGCTCAATAGATGAACTACGGACTTCAACTCTCGGTAAGAGCACACAGAGCTCATTTCGTGATTTTAAGGTCACAGCTCTCTCGGGTTAGTGTGTGTTAAACCCGTGTGTGGAGGACGTTGTGGTCGAATATGAGTTTTTAACGTACATCTCCATCATCTCTATGCACTGGATTGCTTTGCTAAAAGAGGAGACCCATACACGGTATTTGGCAGGAATTGGGTGGCTGTCTATTAGCTGCACTGTTAAAAAGATGATTCATTAGTAAAGGGAATGGTTCTGTTTAGAATTTACTCCTGAAATGGTTCTGTATAGTACCTTAAGAACCATCTTTTTTTAAGAGTGCACATTTGTTCTGGTGTTCACCAATTCAGTCTGAAAGATTTTCCTGGGCTTTTTGGTTCACAGTCATCTAGGCTGTGGGCAAGAGCAGCAGGATTTAAGGGTGCATTAAAAGTTGGCTCAATATAAAGATGCTTAATTTGGTTAAATAAAATCAAACTACAGCTTGTTGCACTTATTGCAAAGTGATAAACCTTTTAAAGCAGGGCTTAACCCTTTTCTGTGGGCTAGAAGGACTTGTAGGTTGGTTTCCTGGTCAGGAGTAAGCCTAGTCTTGGACTGTGGTTTCCTTTCAATGAAGAGTCTTCAGTCAGGATGCTGCGTAGTCCGGGACTAGGGTTAAAATCCGACCCTATAAGACATGGAAGACCTTCACTCATTTCTGCAATGTCTAGTACACGTATCCCTCTTTAAAACCTGCATCTGTTGCTGCCGGCCTGTTTTACTCAGAGCCTTGGTGCAGCCGTCTGTAGGCCTGTGGATGCAATTTGCATCTTCATTTGACCATCGTGCCGAGCTCAGACTGTCAACCCTGTACTGGGCACTCTTATCTCTCTCTCTTCTTCATGGTTTTGTAAGTGCAGTTGGTGTAGTTAGGAGCGTTTAAAGGACCGCAGAAGGTAACTGCTTACCATAATCAAATTACCTAACATTCACTGTACCTTGAGGCTGCTGTGGGGTCATTATGGTGGTCATAGATTGGTAAACATTGATCTGCTGTCAGTACAGGATGCGCCGTGTTCCCCGGCATTACCTCATGTCTGGGCATTCGGCCGACGTCTGGCTGTCAGATTTTGATGTTTGCCTGCTCTGTTTCTCTCTGGCTCGCTCAAGCTCAGCCATCCAGTCACAAACAAAAAACGGTGACTGTCGCTCAGGCGGCCTGCCGCTGTCGTCGAACTGTTGTAGGTTACATCATCTTCCTTTGATTGAGCTCTATGCAGAGTGTTTTTTTTCCCCTTCTAGTCTCATTCCAGTGTCTCTCAGTGATGTAATCTGCGCAGCGGCTGGAGAAACGTGGATTTTGACCTCGACGCGGCTGTGCTTTTGTACACAGTGTGAAGAATGTCGTGGTTCGACACTGATCACAGCTGCCTGTGCATTTTCATCGTTCTGTGAATGTGTCCGTTCCCAGGGTTTGAGTTGTGGAGCGTTCATTGTCAGGCTCGAGTTTCACCTTGAGAAGTAGCGCAGTACCTGGGTGGATCTGAAGGCTGCCCTGAGGGGGAGTGTCACTTAGAAAGAGGAATACTGTCAGAGGGCTTCATGAAAGGCCCATGCGGAGGAATGCATAAGCCCAACAACGCATGGAAACATTCTCTAAGAGGCACATGTGACTGAGCAGAATGCCTTCTTTGTTGCCTTTTTTTTGGTAGAACTTTGCCTGTAAAATGAGGCATTTTGTTGCCAGGCTGGGCACTGCCAGTTCCTTTAAGTTCCAAATATATCAGATTTTCCAAGCACTCTAGAGATTCAGGGTATCAGTGACTCATATTCAAGGACATTTATAAATACAAATGGGGGAACTTTGTGAAGTATTGTTCTAACTATAGCACTGTAGAGTTAGAACATTAGCTAGTAATTTAGTCTCAACAACATAATATTTATAAATCAAGCCATTCTGTTATTTCTCTTTTATGGGGAAAAAATACAGAATTGGTCTCCGGGAATGTTCTTGTGTTGAGAGGTTGCTTGCAGCAGCTTCTTGCAATGTAGCAGTCCATTTTATCTACAAATGAGCATGTTAACACAGTCAGGCCAAAACCAGTGGGCAAAGTAATGCGCAAAGTGTTGCTAATTTGAGACATTCATTCACAATGTCTTCCTTCTTTATTAGTTTTTGTTAATATTTTTTATTTATTCTGGGGACATTTTTGCACCTGTGGTAGCGGTGGGCAATCTGACCAATTTTATTATCGTGATAAGGTACATCATAATATGCTTTTCTGAATATATGGTAGATATCGTTAATGTTTGAAGAACTGCATTACAAATAGAGCACAGTTAGTCCTATTTAATTGAATTTATGCATTGGGGTGTGTGAAATGTTGATCGAAATGACTTCGTGTTTGTAAAAAAACAGTAATAAATATGGAGAAATTTTTGCTTTTTCTGCCATGTTATATCAGTAACCGTGCAAATGTGAGGTTATTTTATATTTGTATATCATTCCATTGCACCAAGAAAAAACAGCCTGTGTAAGCGTTCACAACAAATCCACATCACTATGTAAATACCGTCACAACTACCTGTGCTCTCTCTGCAGCCAGGCGACACATCTTAACCTCCCCTAACAGATCTACTGCCTGTTTTCAACCTGTTCCGCTCTCTTCATGTGTTTAGAGTCCGTCCTGTGATGGATGAGCCGCTGGTGGCTATTTCTGGCTGCGGTTCTTTGCATAACCTGCGCTATTTTTTCCCCTCCTCATTCAAGGTACAGGGCTTCTTCCCCCTGCTAAGCCGAAAAGGTCATTCTTTTCTTTCATCTTTCACCTCTCTCTCTCTCTCTCGACCTTCCGCTTGTCTGCACGCTGCCGCTCTGTTGAGGTAAATCTGAAAGTTCTTCTCTCTGCTTTCGGTCGGTGGCCTTGAGTTGGCAGGCCTGAGTGTTTGTCTCCATTTGGAGTTCCTGCAAGGCTGCTGCTTTGTTTGGAGTTTTCAGCAGGGCATTATAAGATTGGCTGTGCTGTGCTTATCAGCGAGATAAGAAAAGCACCGTTAGCTGTGGGCACTTCCTGCCTTTCTCTGCTCCCAGCCTGTAAATGGGAGCTGGCTGTTGAAGTGTGCTGCACCTACTGCTGAGACAGTTAGCAGTTTTAATGGTATAACCAAGTATGAAGACCGTAACCGTAATCATACTAGTTGACATTTTTATTGATTCCAATAACTGTGTTTGATTCTAATCTTTTTAACAGTTCGCAGTCTGCTGCTACAATCTCCCTGCAAAGCAAGTGTCAGGACAATGCATGTTTACATAGTCATAATCTGAACGGTAAACAGTAGCAGTGCTGGTGATTTTAGTTGATTGCTTGATGTTATAAAGAATTATGAGAGGTTCAGTAATAGAGAAATACTATCAGTGTTTCTCTAAAAACAATACCTAGGTAGGAATTGGTTTCAGTTAGTAGTGTGTGACATACTGGTTCGTCCAGTGTAGGCTACTGATTGAAATTCTTCTGAAGGTTCTTTCCTTGATACTAGTACACCACAAACAGGTACAGAGAATACATTAACAGTGCAAAACACGCTCCTACCCTCCCATGTGGTGAGAGGGAGTCTGAGGTGAGTTAGGACGATTTGTTGTTGAAGGCGCAGATATTAGATTGTAATCAGTTAAAGGGAAAGGAGAGTTGTGGGAAATTTGTCTTGTCTCCATGCTAGGCCACAGCCTAACTCCACATGCCTCCTTGCCTGGCCAGCTGCTTCAGCCAACGCCATAGTCTCGAGACCTTCTCCTCACAACAAGCTGAGAGGCCCCATATCTTCCCAGCTAATACTGATGGCTTGTAATTTTAACCAAATTCCAGCAGCGTCTGACGCTTGTAGATGAAAGCTTGATTTTGAGAGATGCATATGTGATACAAATGACTTCAGAAAGTCAGATGTAAAACTTTTATTACCACTTTTCAGGCTCAGAGAAGCTATTGTGCACTTACAAAAGCTCGTCTTTATCTCATTAGGGTTAGAAAGCAATATTGACACTTGACATTAAATAGTTCACGTCCACATTTACTATTTTTGCACAATAAACACATTCAAGATTTACTTCAGTTGTAAATATGATTCTTATTATAAATGAAGACATCCTAGAATAATATTCCACTGTTAATCCACAAAAGGTTTAGTGAAGCATCCAAAAGGGATTTTGTGTGGAAGAAATTGTACATGAATACACTTTACCATGATACATACTGAAACTGCCAGAAATCTTAATTATAATCTGATGTAAATGGCCATACTGCCCACTACTAGTTTGCATTATTATGTTATGGTATTATTATGTTTGTGTGTTAGTGCTTTTTAAAAATGTTCAGTGTTTTTTAACAACACCACAATAACACTGAACACTGTCATCATTTTGCACACTGATATCAGGACTGGAAATTTTTGTGCTGTCCCACCCGTAACTGCGTCAGGCTTATATTTACGAGTTTTTGAGCCTTGCTTTAGAGGCAGTGAAGGCTCTCTCTGTGTGCCTGTTTACATTACTTACTCAAGTCTTAGTCAGACGTGTGCTGCTCATGTACTTGCCCTGTTTCATGG